GGCAATGAAAAATAGTGGCAAAGAAAACTTTTTAATTGATGGTTTTCCAAGAAATAAAGATAATATTGATGGATGGCAAAAAGCAATGGATGGAAAAGTTAATATTCAATGTGTACTATTCTTTGATTGTGATGAAAAAGTGAATTGTATTTTATTTAATAATCTTAATTCATTATATTTTTAAAAAAGACATGTGTGGCTCGATGTCTTGAACGTGGAAAAGCAAGTGGACGAACTGATGATAATGAAGAAAGTTTAAAAAAACGGTAAAAAATATTTCTATAAAATCATAATTATTTCAGAATATTCATTTTTTTTTGTTTTTAATTTGTAGAATTATTACATATAATGAATCAACTCGACCGGTTATTCAAATGTATGAAAAAGATAACTTAGTTAAACGTATTGATGCTTCAAATGATGTTGATAAGGTGCTATCTATTATTTATTTTTTTCTCATTAAACAAAAACAAAAAAAATTATTGAAATTTTAGGTATTTCAAGATGTTCAAAATGTATTGAACAATATCAAATCAACAAATTAGTGATTTTAATAGTTAAATTGGTTTATTTTTTGGAACATTGATAACAAGAAAAGCAATCTTATTTATTTTGAAGTTTTGCATATATGCACTTTCCGAAATACATCTTATTTAGATTAAACTCATGGTGATTTTAAAAATAAAATTTTTTTCAACAAAATCTTCATTGTTTTTTTTTAATCTTTTTATGAACAATTATTTAGACGTTTTTCACCTTCGAATTTTCACTACTCGTTAATTTTAAGTCACAAAAAAGTTGATCGAGAAAAAAAAATTCCTTCTTGTTTTGATTATAACATTATGATTCTAGAGGAATTGAGTAATATGTTTTTTTCGCTGGAGTAGGCAACCGTCTCTCTGTATTATCATTATTCTAAATAGCTCAGATATATCAATTAACATATATGAACACAAACTTACATAGAAACTTTTATATTCAAGAAGTACCTATAAAAACTGTGAACATTTACGGACACCACCAAAGCTACAAAAAACGGTAAAGTTCGAAACAAATATTATACGAGTACTCACAGGCATTCATTCTAGGCTATGCTTTTTGTTTTCAACTGGATTATAGCCTTTTTGTAGACGCGGAAATCCATAGTTATTTTGGTTTATAATTATACAAGGTGTTTTACAAATAAACATAAAGATAACTATGATTATCTTTTACAATTAAAACCGAGGTAATCATGGATGTCCGTGTATTCTACAGTTTTTGCATGTACCGAAAGTTATCTTTAGCTACCTTGATATTTAATTGTAAAATATTTTGTATAAATAAAAGTCAGCGTAAATATAGGTGTCCGTATCCATATCAAAAGGCTATATCTCAGTTGAAAATAAAACGAGTAACCTAAAATGGGTGTTTGTGGATATCTGTATGATATTTATTTCGAACTCTATCTGTTTTTGCAGCTTTGGAGGGATCTGTCGGTGTTCACAATTTTTGTAGGTACCCATTTTCGAGAGAGTTAGCCGTTATGTTTACTCATGGAAAGTAATCGTTACTGGACAGATCGAATAATAAAATATAGCAGATTATGTTAATCGACAAACTAAAGAAAATCGAAATTTTCTTCTGATATTTAACGATCATTATACTCTGTTTTCGAATAATTTCTTCCAAGGATAATCTTCTAAAAATTAATATTAAAATTAATTTTTCCTAACTTTTAACATCTATGATTAATATGTTCATATCGCTTATGCGTTTGTTTTTTTTTCATAAACATAATCATGTGTAAATATTCTTATTTAAAATTCGAAGTGAAATAAAATATATCTAGTTTCAGGTGAATATGCAACATCCATCTGTTGGCTTTCGTGGTGGCATTCGTATTGGTCATCATTATACACATAATCATCATACTCAAAATGATGATGACGATGATGATAATTTATCTCTTTCAAATTCAAATTCCGATGATAAAGAAGATGATAATCATGATATAAAACATTCATCTATTTATTCATCAATAGGAATTAATAGTGACTTTGAATTAGCTATTCGTAATCTCCGTCCATCAGTAACACGTCGAAAAAAAATCAAAACAAATTTAAATATAAGTAAACAAAAAGCTGATTTACCACAGTTAAATACAACAAATGATGATAATCATAATAATAGTTTAAATGAACAAAAACAAAATGAAAATAATTCTCAAGATAAACAATCACGTCAATGGTTTCCTAAACCTGATGTTGGTCATGTTGATTCTGATGATTTCATTCGTCATAATCATGTTGGTAAGTTTATTCTTTTATATAAAAAATTAAATAATCATTATTGCTTTTATTTGAAAAGAAACTCAACCACTAACTGAAATAATTGAACAATCAACTCCACCAGCTTTATTAACAACAATTCCTCCTGCTGGTATTTCAACACGTCCAACAGCAATTATTGCACCAGCTGGTCCAACACGATCTATTTCAGCTTTTTTCTCATCAAATTCATCAATAAAAAAAGCAACTAGTAATAATTATAGTAATCTTTATAATAATTCAGTATTGAAAACAAATGAACAACAGCAACAACAAATAACATCATCATCATCAGCTTTTCAACCGATTAATTCTATACAAAATATTCTTGAAAAACAATCGACAGTTAAATCTGCACCAGTTTTAATGGATATACCACAACATAAAGCATTAGAACGTGGACAACAATTAAATAAAGTGCATATTTCTCATCCACAAAGTCCATCTATAGTTCATGTAAGTTTGGGTTTCTTTTTTTTTTTCTTCAAAAAGAAAAGAAAAGAAAAACTGAATTTAAAATTGTTTAGCTTATGTTACATGAAGATTTTAATACAGCTTGTCGTCTTCTTCGTGATATGGCAGCACATCCTGAACTTCAAACTGACCATGCACCAACTCATCCTTTTAAGTATAGTTTGTGTTTTCATATTTTTTCAAATAGTTTTAAGTGTATTATTTATTAGGGCTCAAGTCAATCGTTTATGTGCATGTTATCATGAAGGTCGTTGGTTTCGTTGTCGTATATTACAAATATCACCAGATTTTTCAACAGCTACAGTTGTTTATTTGGATTGGGGTATGGTAATTCCAATGCAAATTGGACCAGAATATATTCGTCGTTTGCCAAATGAATTTTATGCTGAACCAGCTTGTTCTATAATATGTCATCTTGATGGTGTACCTGATACGAATGATTTAATACCGCCCGATGTTATTGCTCAATGTATGGTTTTATTAAGTGAAAATGAATATGATGTTACTGTTAATGGTTATGATAGTACAACTGGAGGTAAAGTTCTTATATCGGTTAATGGAAGAATTATTAATGATCAATTAAGACAATTACTTGTACCGAATGTAAGTTATTTTCATATAAGGCTATCTAGTTGATTCTTAGTTATAAACATAAGAGTATTATGTTTCTAAGTAGAAAAAATTGATCGAAAATGTAAAAGAGATCTTTTCAGATCAAAAACAAATGAAGATGGTTAACTCTAAGCTTTAACACTTAGAATTAAAACGCTTTGAAGAAAATCTATTTGAATGAACTCAAATTTGTCATTCAAAAAAAAACACTTCAAATTATTTTTGAATAAAATTCTAGCCTTTACTTTGGACAACGATCGATTCTCTCAATCTCAATGGAAAGACTATTAAATACAGAGCATATTTATAATTCATATATTATGACGAAGTTTTCACTAAAATCTTTTTTTTTTCGTTTTCAGACATTAATGACACCAGAAGAAGAATCAATTGAACAATTTCGACATGAACTTCCATTAACTGTTGGCGATGAATTAAAAGCATTACTTAGTTCATTTAGTGGTAAAGATGATTCATTTTATGTATTACTTGTTAATGAAAATACAGTTGCTATTGATCAAGCTATGAATCAATTACAAGAAACAAATATTGCAGATCGTTATACATGTGAAATGCCACGCATTAAAACGTATATTACTTAGTTTCAATTTATATCATCCAATTCTTTTTACTTTTTTTTTTTCGTTAGTCTTGTTGTGGCTCGTTATGCTGATGATGGCAAATGGTATCGTGCATGGGTTAAATCAATTTGTTTACAACGACAACAAGCAATTGTTTTTTTTGTTGACTTTGGTAATGAAAGTACAGTAATGTTTTCTGATATATATCCATGTCCAGAATCTGTTCGTACACTTCCATGGCTTGGTATACGTGTTCGTTTAACAAATGAAACAATGACACATGATGAATTAGCTACATTTTGGAAAATAGCTGAATCAAATTATATATGGATAAAAATTTTAGAAATATTAAAAGATTCGTATGGTATACAAATTAAAATTGATTATTCAATTCTTCTTCGGCAGGAACGGATAAAATCATTATCATCTAATCGAGTTGTTCATGTGGGTGTACAGGTAAGAAAATAAATATTTATTTCATGAAAAATCTTTTTGGTTTGTCTGTTTTTCTATTTTTTAAAGACAATGTTTGATGAACAATCATTATTAACAATATGTCCATCAAATAATTTAGAAATAAACTCATGTTTAATAACACCTTCAATAACTGATCAAAGTCAAATAGGAAATGAAAATTTAATTCGTAATCTATTCGAAATGATTAGTAACGAATTACGTCGTCTTCGACATCGTATCAATGATAGTGATGAAGCATCACAAGATCGTCATAGTCAACTAATGCAATTATTATTTTCTACATTTAATTTAAATAATAGTAATAATCAAAAAAGACTTTAAATTCGAAAAAAAAACCAATAGTTAAATGTTCAGATGTTAACAACCGGTTTATTATATATCGATTGTTTTAGATCTCTTTCCTTTTCTTCTCTATAGTCAGAATTTTCATTGTGTTAAGAAAAAAAATTTTCTGTTGTCTTTCAAAATTAAATGGGTATTAAAACATAAGTAGATTATTTGTTACTTTGTTCTAGATTCTTTTCGCTTTTTTTTTTTAAAATTCTCAATGGCAAGTCTATTTCGTAATTCTCGATCTATTATTACACGATTTTCTTGCATTCGTCGTACTGCAGCAACAACAGGTGCTGGTACACAAGTAAAAACATCTGGTGCTTCGACAACTCTTTCGCAAGCATCACGTTCTGGTACTGACGTTAATATGGCGGTACGAGATGCTCGACAACGATTAACCCCAACTGATCCGATTAAGCCAAGGCCTGCAGGCGAATCACCTCTCATGTAAGTTTGTACTAAACAAAATCGATCATCATTACAAAGCTTTTATAGCTACTATTTTGCATGAAAAAAATTTATCTAGTATCAGAGCATTGATAACAATGAGTTGTTATCCTCTTCGTTATTTAATTCATCAAGTTTTCTAACGATGGAACTATCTCAACTGTAATTCCCTCGTACAAGCTTATATTGGGTCCACTAGGAGATCTAAATAAGACTAGAAAAATCTCTAAACGATTCGTTCTTATGGACCATTAGAGATGAGTTATGACTGTTCTACTGAATTTTCGACTTGTTTTTAGATATTTAGTGAAAAACAAAATACCGAAGTTTTAATCTAAAATTTTGCCTGTAGATAAGTCTAATGATCCTTAGAATATTCTGAAAATTTTAACCGAAAAAGGATGTTCATTGACTGAGACATTGAATATCCGAACAATAGTCATTTGTTATGGATATGTCATAAAAATCGAGTTTACTTGGAAATTCAATAACTCAATAAAGGAACATTCTTTTCGGTTCAAACTTTAAGGACATTCTAAGAGTCATTAAATCTATCTACGAGCACAATTTCAGGTCGAAATTCGGTTATTTGACTTTTCATTAAATACCTAATAATGGGTTGAAAATTAAGTACAACGATCATGACTTGGTTTCAAAAGTTCATGGAAAGGAATCCTTTAGGGCTTTTTCTAGTGCTATCGAAATCTTCTTATGAGCTCAAACGACGAGTTACAGCTGGAGTAGTTCCTTCGTAAGTACACATTTATTGATCATTAGTGGCGTGAAAATTATAATCATTAATGTTCGAATCCAACGTGAAAATTGTAGATATAAATACATGTATTAATTTCATCTTTCAAACAGCTAATTTTGATTTAGAGAATATCATTCACTTCAATAACAATTCTGTAATTCTACATAAACGTTAAGTTAGGCTAATTAGAAATGTTATCTAACATTGAAATGCTATTAACTGACTTTTATAGTCGAAGTTGAAATTATGTTCGATTCAAACTGAGTTAACGAGTCGATTCTTCTACTAAAGTCACAGAGACCCTCTTTCCTGGTTTTGGTCTCCAATTCGTTATGGAAATTTTCTTCTTTACTGTTTCTGCATCGATTTCAAAAGTTCTTATAAATTATCTGCTCTTCTAACTTGTATTTTG